GCAGTTGATAATTGCTATAATATCCTATGCCTCAGGATACTGCAAATTCTCATAAATTATTTGGAGGTTTCAAAAATGAAATTCAACCAAAACAAAAGCAATCTTGGTATGCATTTGAAACCTCCCCCCAGAAATTTCCTACATATAAAATGCTGAAATGCCTAGTGATGAGATTTTTTGATTCACTTACAAGATCTGGAAATGGGTCCACGTTGTGGTCTCATAGGAACTGGAGATGCTCCTTTTTAGTGCTCAGGAGAGTGGACCATGGCCTTTGTCCATCTCCAGTTTGCTTTGCTAGCCAGTGATGTTGGCATGGTTCTGTCCAGTTGGGCCAATGAGATTTAATTGCTTGGTAATTCTGTACTGGTTTGAATTAATTTTAAGACCAAATTAATTAAAACAGATGAAGCTCCTTTCCTCTATTATTCAGGAGCTTCTTAGATAGGAGGGAGAACATTAATTGCATTAAGGGTATTACATTGTTTCAATATACTTCTTTTTGGTGACCATTCATGGGGCTTCCAGGAGTCCAACGTGGCTTCTCCCATCTGTGGCTGTGAAGTTGCTCTGCTTTACTCTGATAAATAACACATACATGTATAAACGGTTGCTCTGAAAGCCTCCCAGATGTTAGAAGGTGATTGGTAGGTGTACATGTAGAGTGGAAGGCAGGGGATAAAATTACACATTGAAGGAAGTAACTCTGCTGCAAATGCAACTTTTTGAATGTCCAGTTTCCATGTGCAGTAGGAAAATTCCCGAACAGCGTGTAGAGATTGGTAAGGCAGGGGCAGAGGAGGGGAGCAAGAAATAAATGTTGGTAAGAGGGAGACGGTTTGGTTGGGTTCATTAAATTTACTGGTTTAAAGTTTCTGAAAGAATGATTCTCGATTAACATGTAGTAAATTCTGACAGCTAAGAACTAGATGAAGGCAGTATTCCGATGACTGCTGTGGCCTGTTCTGGCTACAGGAATCTTACCTCTAGGTGGTAGGTCCTGTCCTCTTGAGATACCCATTTACAAATTCACACAGAGGTGGTCTTTGTTAAGTCAGATTTTAATGGAAACGCAATGAAGGGGTGTACTGGGAATGACTGAATGACACTCTGCAATGGGGACACTAGGAAGTAGGTTGTGAGTTAACATTTGTAGGCTTTTGTGCCACAATTATGGAGCAGTCACTACCTTTAGGCACAAGTTTATTCAATCTTCTCAGAGTCTTGTGTGATGAGTGTCATCGCCATCATCATTATTCCCCTTTTGCAGAGACTGAAGCCGAGTGGTAACACAGAGAGTATGGGACCCCAGTCTCTTGCTGAACCACTGAACATTACTGTCTTTTTCCTGGGATCTGTCCCTTCTCCCTTTTCTGATTGGCCTACGAACCTGTAACTCCTGCCGAACCAACAAGTTGTAGTGATTGGAAAGCCCCAAAGTGTCTTTTTCCCTCCCTCTCTCCCTTCATTCCTTTATTCCCCCCTTCCTTTCATGTGCCAGGCAGAAGGTGAGGTTCTGGAAATGCAGTGACCAGCAGAAGACCCATGGTCGCTGCCTTCAAACTGCTCACGACTTAATGGAGGAGACAGACATTAAGCGAATAGTTACAGGTCTAAACACAGTCACAGTATATGTTCTGCATCGGATGAGCAGAGGTGCTGGGGTGGCTGATACAAGCAGGGATTCAGAAGTGTCCCTGAGGAGGTGACACTGAGCTGAAGGCGAAAAGCCTGAGTGGGAGTTTTCTAGGTAATTGGGACTTGGGGGAAGGCTGGGAGGGCAAAATGATGGTTCCAGGAGAGAAGGACAGCAAGGATGGAGGCCTGAGCTGGGAAGAGGAAACACACGTGGTGAAGGGTGAAGAAGGTGCCTGTAGCCTCAGCACAGAGAGGGAGGGTAAGAAGGACGTGGGGAAGGGCCACCGCACCTGGTTCCAGCACCATGCCAAGACGTGTCCCTTCGTCTCCAGAGTGGAAAGCCAATGGAAGGCTATACACACAGGCAGGACGGTGTGCTCTGCCTGCTTTTGGAGGGTGAGAAAGGAAGGGAGCAAACCGTGGTGGGGAGACGGTGAGGCTTGACCACGGAGCCCAGGTTCCAGATGGTGGCATCTTGAATTAGTATGGTGGCGGTGAAATGAAGAGAAGCGGGTGACCCAACAGCTGTGGGCACCACAGATGTGCAGAAGGACTGTGAGGCCACAGTGTGACTTAGGATCTGTGAGAGAGGCCTGTGCAGAGCGCTTCTCGCAGACACGGCGGTGCGACTCAGGCCCATTCACTTTAAAGTGCTTTAAAGTACTTTGGTCATCCCATACTTTAGTCAATGCTGCTGTTTGATATTAGAAGGAATGTCAAGGAGGTGGATCATTTCCAGGGAGCGATACAGGAAAAATACTTACGTACCTCGGTATTTGCTTAACGTACCTCTGGCTGCCTCCACTTGCTTTGGAAAATAAAGGGAACATCACAGAATGGAAGGGACATGAGTGACCTGGTTTCTGGTATAATCTGCCAAAAAGCAGCAGAAGTTACTGAGTGGCCTTGGTGTGTCACTGCCCATCCCTTGCTCCCTGCCTCTCCCTCTGAGATGTGAAGAAGACCGATTGTGTGACCCCCAGCAAATCTTACCTCTTTAGGAATCAGAAGTATCTTAATGTACCTGCAAACATGTATCACGTGCCCCACTGTCCTGGACAGCCTCACCCTCGAGTCTGGAGGTGGGGGCAGATACTGAATCAATAGTATATAAACAACATCTCTATTTTTAAGAGGTAAACTTCCTAAAGTCAAGAAGAAAATGTTGACTCCGAAGGAAAAATGTCATGCACCAGGTATCAGAGCATTTATTGGGTGGTCTTTAAATTGGGTAGTCATCTCTGAGGATAAAACGTTTAAGTTGAAACTCTAGGGACAAGAAGAAACCCTCACATGGGTGTGAAGCCTGGGCCCTCCAGGCAGTCAGAAAAGCCACGCCTGAGATCCTATGTCTGGGCAATGTGGGCCTGTTGGAGGGGCAGGGGGAGCAGAAGGAAGCGACAGAGAGAAGAGGACCTTGCGGGCCACGGCAGGGAATCTGGGTCTCATTCTGAAAGCAGTGGAAACCACTGAGGATTCAAGGCAGGGGTGTGACCCCGTCTGATCTCTACTTAGAAAGGTCACTCTGGCTCTTGTGCAAATCCTGGATTGGAGTCACAGTAAAGGGAGGATGTGGAGCCCACAGGGGAGGCTGGGGTTAATAGCTGCACAAATGGGTGTGATTGTTCCCCTCCCAGTCTCCCTGCCACGCACAATGCGGCTTTTCAGCTCTTCCCATCGGAGGGTAGTTTGTTTCTCTACTGCTTGAATTTGTGCAGGCCTTATGGATTGCTTTGTCCCTACAATGGGGTGGAAATCACAGTATGCTCAGGCTCAGAAGACCACGCAGGCCCTCTTAGAACCTGACCCAACTGCCATGAGAACCAGCCTGGGCTGACTGGCTGGCAGGATGGGCACATGGGGCGGCAAGGAAACGGGGCCATCCTAGACCAGCCGTCCCCCAGCCAAACCCAGCAGCTCACTGCAGACACATGAGTGAGCCCAGCAGAGACCAGAAGAAACCCCTGGAAGCCCAGCCCAAATGTATTGTGAGCTAAATAACTGGCTTTGCTTTAAGCCACTGTTTGGATGGTTTGTTACACAGCAAAACCTAACTGATACAGAGGCTTCTGGGCTGCCCAAGCCAAAGGAGATGATGGTTTGGACCAGGATAGTAGTGACTATGGGGAGATGTAACAGGGTTGGGCGTATGGCTTGGAGTTAGTATTGACAGGACTTGATGACTGATGGACCATGAGAATGAGAGGAAGAGAGGAAAAAAAGTACAATGAAAAGAGCAGCAGCCAATAATAATATGGCCTTTGGGTTAAGAACTAGAGATGTCAGTCCTAGATAGTTTTCTGATACATTCTGTCTGTAATAAGAAATTTAGTATCTAATCCACTTACTACTCAACAAGCTTTTGAGGTGGGTACTGTTATTATCCCTACTTTATTGGCGAGGAAACAGGGATGGAAAGATTAAGTAACTTGCTTATTATTACGTAGCTAGTAAGTAACGAAGCCTGTATCACTTCAGAGCGTTAACCTCAATGCTGTGGTGAAAAATGGAGAAGCTGAGGTCATCAGCTGAAGAACGTTGGTGCAGGGCTGGCTAGGGAAGGAAGTGACTGGGGACAGTATGGATGTGTTCCAGCACAGCGCTTTAGCACAGGGGTGGGCAAACTTTTCCTGCAACGGGCCAGACTTTAGGCTTTGCCAGACGTATGGTCTCTGTGGCAACCACTCAACTCTCCGGCATGAAAGCAGCTAGACAATATAGAAATGAGTGGGTGTGGCTGTATTCAGCAAAGCTTTATTTATAGAAACAGAGGGCAGGCTGGATTTGGCCTGCAGGCCACAGTTTAGTGCGAAGAGGAGAGGCCCAACCCGGACTACGGGGAAGGGATGGGGTCAGAGAAGCCTCCTCTGAGTTTTGGCCTAAAAGACAAATATTTGAGAGCCAGGCTAAAGAGCAGTGAGATGGGAAGGTATGAGGTGGAGGGCACTGCACCCGAGGGAACCAAGAGCAGTACTGCTGGAGCTTGAGGGCCCAGTGGAGCACGAGAACTTGAGTCCATTGGAGGAAGTGGGCAGCAGTTCTCATACCCACTGCAAGCCCTGGGGAGGAGCGGCTGGGCTCGCGGTGCACCAGGAGAATGACGCGCTCGTGCTCGGGTTTGCATTGCTTGGAGCGTCCTTCCAGCAGTCATCTGGACTGCGGGTGGGGCTGGGTTAGAGAGGAGACAGGGGACTCGGACCCAGAGGCAGGGCTGGAAGGAGCCCAGACCTGGTACGCTGGCAAGTCTGGGTCGGGGAGGAAGAATTTGGTGTGGAGGTGACATCACGTAAGGAAAAGGAGAGAAAGAAGGAGGCAGGAAGAAGAGAGTGAAAAGAATTCAAGTCCGAACCCACCCGCCCGCCCTTTCTGCTGCCCTCTCTCTGCAGGATCAGTAGGTACTGAGGGCAAAACATCTGGAGGAGGAGAAACGCCCGGTTATACAGGGGTCCAGATATGCAGGTAATTTAACGTTTGGTTTTACTTCTCCTGTGGGCAGCAGAGCAAATACTCAGGGCTTCCTGCGGCCTGAGGAAACAAGAGAGGCCGTAGGAAGGAAAATGCTCTCTAGGGGGGCTGAGAGCCGGAGGAGCCCACCAGGGCCTGTCTGCAGGTGGCTTTGTTCCAAGTCTAGAAGCCACAGGGCCTCTCAGGTCTGCACAGAAGCACATCGTTATTGTCAGTATTTTAATTTGCCTGTGTGGGAAATAACATTGTCAGAAGCCATAACTCAGCTGTGAAGGACAAGTGACTATATATAGCTATGTATCTAAGTATGGCCAATAGACTCATAAAAAATAACCAGGCATCCTGGTTTCCACAGCCCCTGCAGAGCTCTCTGTAGGAAAGAGCCGCGGTGGCTGTTTTCTGGCAGGAAAACACACATATACACACATACCACCATCATTTCTTAATCACTTGCATCATTTGATACCTGCCAATTGCCTCCCATTTGTCAGGAAACCTATACAACTTGGGTCAGGAAAAGAACCTATTTGTTTCTTTTCCTAGGACCTCAAAGGTCTTAGATTGGGTGGAAGTCTTATGGGTTGAAAAGAAAAATCAGCAACTTCTCTGCAGGCTGGGTGTTTGCTTGCTTTTGGACACTTGATTTCGGTCTGTGAGTTCTGGGATTGACAATCCCCATAGCAGAAAGGATGGGGATTTTAAAGGGATTGGCTTCTGATCCACTAGGAGTTGCAGGAAAAGACACTAGCTAACTGTCCCCCAGCTACAAAGGAGCCTCTCCGGTACTACAAACCGAGGCCGCACAGGTTTGGGGTCAGAGGTCACAACATTGCTTCAGCTCACCAGGAATCTGCCAGCACAAGGAGGAAGAGGAAAGATCGAGCAATGCAGTGGCGTTTCAAATACCCAGAGCACCAGTGTTGTACTTCCAGAAGGCCCCAGAGTACCAGGGATAAAACTGGGGAAGGGAGAGCTCTGATTCTGGGGAGCTCCACAACCTTGTTTAAGGGCGAGGAGTGGGCACCCAGCACGCATCTCTCTGGGCCTGGGGACAGGAGCTAACCAGGAAGGGCGGGAACCCGGAAGCCCTCTGAATGGCCAGGGCAGGCTCTGGCCCCCACCTTGGCATGCGACTTCCACAGCTCCTTGCTGATCTCAGGACCGCTGAGAAGGGGGGGCCAGAGTGAGTGGCCATCGGGCCCTCCAGTGTTCACTGGAGATTTACTGGGTGCTGGATTTACTGGGCACTTTACATTCTTTTATTTTGTTGAGTCCCTGCAAGACTCAAATCTTGGAGGCAGCAATGAAGCCCATTGTACAGGTGAAGAGACTGAGGCTTACAGCAGGCAAATGGCTTGCTCAGTAATACTGAAGAGAAAGCAAACTCCTTGACAGATTGTTTGTGGAGAGGGTGGAATGTGTTCTCTAGTTTTGACACATCATTAACTAAACCCTGCCCTGTGAAATAGACGTGGGGATGCTCCATTAGCAACGCTGGCACTTTGAATTAGTTCCAGCACCAGGTGACTGGGGGAACTTAATAACAGTCATTGCCAACTGTTGAGTCCTAGCTATGTGCAGATCCCTCTATAATACTATGTTCATTATCCTGATGAAGGACATATTACTATCTCCATTTTATAGATGAGGAAACCAAGGTCAAAATGTTAAGTGCCCTCTTCAACATGCTCAGTAAAGGTCTGTGCCAAGGGACAAATCTGTTACTGTTTGGCCCCCAAAGCCAAATGTTTTCCATTGTTGTATTATATTGTAATGGGATCTTCTTTCAGTGTGGGGAGACATGAAGATCAAATGCTCTATTCTGAGGGTAATAAATGGAGGCAGGTGAATTACTAGTAGTATTATTCCCAATTGTAGTAGTATTAATAATAATTCCATATTAATCAAGAATATTTATTGAGTGCCTACAATATGGCAAGAACTGTTGCAAGCATTTGAGGTAAGGTAGCAGAAGAACAGGCAAAAATTCCTGCCTTCATGGAGCTTTTATTCTAGTTGGGACAGATAATTAATAAATAAGAAAAATAAGTATAGTATATGCACTAGAGGCTAATAAGCTATGGGGGCAAAATAAATCAGGAAGAGAAGATTTCTCGGAGGTGAGGTTGCAGGTGTAGATATGATGGTCAGAAAATGTTCCTGAAGGAAGTAAGGGAGTGAGTCTGTGGATCTCTCAGGGAACAGCATTCCAGGAAGAGGGAACAGCACATACAAAAAATTATAACAACAATAATAATGCTCAACTACCCTGGGCCAGATGAGTGGTTCTCAAAATATGGCCAGATAAGTAGCATCAGGGTCTTCTGAGAACTTCTTAGAAATGCAAATTCTCAAACTCCACCCTAGCTTCTCTGAGGGTGAAGCCCATAATCTGTGTGTGTGTATATTTCATATATACATATATATGTTATACATACATAATATGTATATTATGCATACATACATATATTTTATTATAGCATAAGTTACATACTGCAAAATTCAACCCTTTCAGTAAACATTCCTATGCATTTCAATAAACTCAAACGTGATGTAACCTCCAGCGTGACTGAGATATAGAACAGTCCCATCTCTCCATCAGACGTCCCTTTGTACTCAGTCCCTACCACTGCTTTCCAGGCCCTGGCCACTATGGGTCTGTTTTCTGTGTCTCTGATTTTGCTTTATAATTTGTGTTTTTGCAAACACTCAAGGTGATTCTTCTTTACACCAACGTTTAAGAACTGTTGTGTTATTCTAAATCCTCAAGCAACTTTACAAGGCATTTACGATACCCATTTCACACATAAGGACTTCTGGGTTCTCTCTGGAATCCTAAATGGCCCCTTTTCTATTATGCAGAGCAGTGCCACCTCTTATTTAAAGGTTTGGGTGAGGGTTGGTAGGATAAGATTCATTTTCTATCCTGAATATATATTAAGGCATTTTTCTAAATAAAGACAGTGTATGCTTTACAATGAATACTGGTAAATAAATGCTTTCCCCCTTCTTTATGCCTAAGACATAACCTATGGCTCATATGAATTCAAAAGCCTTTATCATCTAAAGGGCTGGAGGAATGTTCGTTTTCTCCTTCCACACATACCCCTCTGGTTGCATACATGCTGTCTTTCTTTGATTAAATTCATATTGAAAAATTTCAATGCATTTACATTATGTAAAAACATTCTCTAAAAATTTAAATAACACATAAATTTGAAGAATAAAAAAGTTTGTTCCCTCTATATCTCTTCCTATTACTCCCTGATTTCCTGTTCATTTCTCCCAAACTAATCATCACTAAGAGTCTGACATATCAGTTTACACACACACACACACACACTCACACACTCACACACACTCATACAAAAAAAGACTATATAGTTTTGTTTTTGTGTTTTTTTAAAGAAGAGTTATTCACTAAGCAATTTTATAGTGTTTGCCTGAGACCTTAAATTTCTAGCAATTTAATACATTAGAAAATCTGAACTCTTTGAATTATAAGTTGTTTAGTATATTGGATTAAATGTATTGACATCCTTTGGCATTTGCCGAGTTTAAAATAGTATAAAGGATATCTCTGGGGTCAAAAAGAAACGGGAACTGAAAGTCACAGTGAGAAGCAGTCTTCTTTTTCTTTTTCAGGTTCCTTTGCTAAGAGGATTGGGTTTTAACAGCCACGTGGAGATAAAACATGTACCTTCAGCTCCCTGACAGGGTTAATTGGAAATGTGACAGCAACTAAAGCCAGGACCTCAGATAGCTACATCCTCAGTGAAAGTATGCATTAGAAAAATTTGCCCAGCAGCTTATGGAGATAATAAGGAAAGCTGGCTGGTTGCTGCTCTCAGTGTGGAAAATCTCCCTTAAGAAGCTGTAATCACAGACCCACTCCATGTAGGTATAGGATTAACATTTGCACTACGTATGTGCTCGTGGAACTGCCAAACTGAGAAATTATGTAAGTAGTTTTGGGGAGTGATAATTTGGCCATACGTGAGAAAATCTTTTTGCAGGAAATGCCCTCCAGCCAGCCAGCATAGCATTAGCACAAAGTCTCACTGAAGATGAGTTCACAGTAAGATGAGTTACATGACACAAAAAGAAACAATACAGCCAAGCAGAGCAAGTCAGCAGACACAACAAACAATATAATTAGGTCATCCTATACTTTATATAATGGATCTCTTGGCTGGCAATAATAAAATAAATATGTGTAAAGTGATTAAACCTATAAAAGGAAGAGCTAGGGAACAAAAAAATTCTTTTAAGTTGTAGGTTTGAAAAAGAAAACAGAACTTCTGAAAGTGAAAAATGGTAGATTAAAAAAAAAAAAACACCAATGGCTGAATTAATCAGCAGACTGGATCCAGCTGAAGTGAGGATTGGTGAACTGGCCCTAGTTTGGAGGAAATTATCCAGAATGCAGAATACAAAGAAAACGGATGGAATATGTTAACTAAAAATTAAGAAGAATAAGGATAGAGTGAGAAGGTTCAATGTGCATCTAATAGGAAAGAATAAAAGAGAAGCAACATTTAATGAATTAATGGTTGAGGTATTACCAGAATTTATGAAAGGCATAAATTCTCAGTTTAAATATGCACAAATGCTGAGCATTAAAATGAAAAAATTAGATTATGCTGACATTTTATAATCTTAGAATAATATTTAGAGAGAATTTTAAAGAATATTTCTTTTGCTTTTATACTAGAATAGTGATTTGGTAATATAAATATTATTCTTGAGCCATATTTTCTTTTTCTCAAGATTTTGTGGATATATATATATATATATATATATTTTTTTGCATATTAATTGTTCTGTGAAAAAGCCTACAGTCAGCCTTTTTCATTCCTTTAACTTTCCCTCTCCCCCACCACTGACTGGGCTCAGGAATTGACAGCCTGAGCATCCTTTGTAAACCTTCCTGTCATCCTGTAATGATCATTGGCTAGATCCATTAATTGTCTGCAGCTTTAAAGTTTATTTTT